TCACCACTCAGTATAGAGTGCCAGTAGTTTAGTCCCGAGTGCAGATTTAGCCAGCAGCCGGTTGAAACTCACTGTAATTACTTTAGGCTGAACTCTTCACTGGCGAGGACCTCGGAACCACTGCACACCGAAGTATCCGCATAGTTTTTTTTTTGGTGGCGGGGTAGCTGAACTTTGGAGTAAACGGATAATCGTCAAATATAACAATTATTATTATTATTATTATTATTATTATTATTATTATTATTATTATTCCTTTGATTTCTGGTGTGTACACGTTTCTTTCCGAGTCCCGCCCAGAGACTTAAGATTAGAAATGGCATCATGACATTTTCCATTGACCAATTAAAAACACACACATACATATTTTACATAGATACATCGTAAGGTGTGGGCTGTTATTATTATTATTATTATTATTATTATTATTATTATTTTATTTCCTTTGATTTCTGATGTGTACTCATTTCTTTCCGGGTTCCGCCCAGGAACCTAAGGTTAGAAATGGCATCATGAGATTTTTCAGTGGAAAAAAAAATTATATAGACAAAGCCCTTCGTAAGGTGTGGGCTGTACTCGTGAGAACAATTTTTTGTATTTCTTTAAGGCATCGGCTTCCAGGAATCCCTTCAATTAGTCTACTGGTATCTTTTCCAACCAATCCGAGGGCTCCAACTACAACGGGGATTGTGGATGTTCCCATGTGCCACATTTTTGAGATTTCGATTTCAAGGTCCTTGTATTTTGATAGCTTTTTGAAGATCTTCAAAGATACATTGCAACCTGTAGGGACTACCATATCAATAAGGAGGCAATTTTTTTTGTCTGCGTTTATTATTATTACCAGTACAGTTGTTTTTCATTATAAGACAAGCAACGTTTGTACAAAGACTTATATTTTTTGTAGATTTATATATTTTTATACGTGAAAAAGTTTTGTTTTTTTTAATATAATCTGAAGAAGACAGACATTCTGTTGAAATATTGTTTAACACTGTCAAACACTGTGGGTTTTTTTTTCCTTTTCTTTATTTTTACTTAAACTGCACTCTTCTCTTAACTATTGTATTATTATTAATATTAATATTATTATTTCTTTCATTTTTCTTTTATACTCACTTCCGGGTACCAACCAGAAATCTGCCATCATGATATTTTCCACTGCAAATTTGCGTAAAAAAATAAAAATAAACAACCTAAAAACACACACATTTTACATAGATAAAGCAGTTCGTTGAGTGTGAGCTGTACATGTGAGAACATTTTTTGTACTACTTTAAGGCATAGGCTGCAAGAGATCCTTTCAATGAGTCTATCAGAAGCTTTTACAATCAAAACCAGAGCCCCAACTACAACTAGAATTATTGATGTCTTTATGCACCACTGTTTTTTTTAATTTTCCACTTCAAGCTCCTTATATTTTGATATATTTTTGAAGATCTTCAAAACTGCATCCACTCTGAATCGAACGACCATGTCAATAAGAAAACACATTTTGTTTTTTCTGTGTGTATTGTAAAGTCCCATCAAATTGTTTCAGTTCCTATGTCTGTAACCGGGTCTGGATAGTATTCAAACCAATTTCTTGCAGTTTACTTCCCATAAAAGTAACTGATATTCCAGTGCCGATAGCTGCCCACCCTGTCATGCTGAGTGTTATATTCGATCGCTGCTCATATCGTGCAACCTGATACAAGATGGTCAATTGTTTCTGGATATTCATCACAAAATCTGCATTTGGGGTGAACACATTTTTTCAACATGTTTGCATGATAATTTATAGTTAGAAAGCAATATTATTATTATTATTATTAGTAGTAGTAGTAGTAGTAGTAGCAGTAGTAGTAGTAGTAGTAGTAGTAAAACTGTTTAACTGATAAATAATAGAAAGTAATAAACAAAAAAAAATAAATAATGTATATAATAATAGAAAACAATTGTCGAATATTTTTAAAACCAATTATTATTATTATTATTTTATTTCCTTTGATTTCTGGTGTATACTTATTTTTTGGGATCCTAAAGTCAGAAAGGGCATCATGACATTTTCTACTGAGCAGTTTTTGAAAAAAAATCCCTACGATCTCACACATTTTACATGTAAGATGTAAGAGCTGTATTTGTGAGTACAATTTTTTTTTTTGTATCTCTTTAAGTCTTGAGCTACCTGCGATCCATTCAATGAGTCTACTAGAACCTTTTCCCAATCAATCCAAGGGCTCCAACTTCAACTGGAATTGCTAATATCTTCATCCGCCACATTTTTCGGATTTTGATTTCAAGCTCCTTGTACTTTGAAAGTTTTTTTGAAGATCTTCAAAGATGCATTACAATCTGCAGGGACTGCGGTCATGTCAATAAGAAAGCACATTCTTTTTTTGTAGTCTCTAATCACGATGTCTGGGTGATTAGCTTTGAATTGTAAAGTCCCATAAAATTGTTACAGGTCCTATCTCTCTAACTAGGTTTCGGTAATGTTCATACCAGTTTCTTACAGTTA